TATTATATTTAAAAAAAAAAACTATTAAATTTTACATTAATAACAATAATGTTTTTTGTAAAATAATTTTTGTATATAAAATATTTTTTCGGGGGGGTTTATTTCGTCTCGATTAATCATCGCGAGGATCATTCTTGTAAAAATATAAAAAGAAACAAAACACGAATTAAAATGGAAAAGAAGTTCTCGTATAAAACAGGATACGAGTAAGAATAAGAAAAAAAAAAAAAAGAAAAACAAATAAACCCAGTGACACGACTGCTAAGAATATTTCAAACGAATCTATGATATCTCATCCCTATAATTTTATTGTATAAAATTGAAAAAGAAAAAAAGAAATAAAGATAAGAAAATAAAAGAAAAGAAAAGAAAATAAGAGAAAAAAAAGAAAACTCTGACTCACCAGGAAATGCATAAGAAAATGCTAGGAAGCACGTAGCGACGATAAAAATATTAACAAAAAGCTTCATGGTTGCGCTGTTGTGTCGTTGTTATTGTTGCGTTTTTCTTTTCACTTTATCGAGGATACAAAAAATGACAGAGAGAGAGAGAGAGAGAGAGAGATAGGGGGGAAAAAAAAAGAGAAAAATAATTTAAAAGAGAATAAAAAAAATACAAACGAACCGAAAGAAAAATTCTTTTTTTTTTTTGTTTTGTTTGTTTGTTTTTTTTTTCCAAAGACGACTAATACGGGGGCCTTTTTTGTTTCCTCTCGAGGAAATTACAAAAACAAAAAAAGGCAAACAACCTCTCGCAAAAGCTGTTTCAAGAACGGTGATTGAATTCGTACTGACGATGAGAATTACTAGTAGAGTCGTTGGTTGGGTTTTCTCGCGCGCGGCTTTAGCAGCTCCCCACGAAACGAAACGAAACGAACGAACCAACTACTACTACTACACTAATATTCGTTCGAATGAAGGAATCAAGGTCACTCACTCGTTCGTTCGTTCGTTCGTTCGCTCACTCGCTTGTTCATTCTTCCCCCACTCATATAACTCGGTTTAAAACAACTCACAGTCTTCTTGTGGCGTAGAATGTTGTTTGTCTTTGTCTTTTTTGTCCGTCGTCGTCGCTTTGTTGTGTCGTCACCATCACCAACACCATATCACCATTACCATATCACCACCACCACCATCACCGTCGTCCTCGTCATTTGAAAAAAAAAAGACTTTTGTCTTAACCGCGCTTTACAATCGTTGTCGCGATTCGCTACGCCCAGCCAATCACCTAGCCGCTACTTACCGATCACGTGACTCCCGGCAAGTCACGTGACCCCTCAGCTCGAGGCTACCTCGGAGTTCCGTTCATTTCGTTTGCAATCGTCCTTGCGAACGGTCACTTCGATAGAGACAACCGATTATTTTTATTTATACGAATATCTATTTTTATTTAATCCTTTTGATTGTTACGGACGCATATATGCGTTTGGTCAAAAGTTATCAGCTTGGTCTATCGATGCATAATACGTGTTTGTTAATATTAATGTTAAATAATGTATTGTTGTTTTGCGTATTGATTATTGTTTTCAATCTTGTCATACATGAAAAAATGATATTTTATAAGAAAGAACAAATTTAATTATTTAATTTATTTTTATTATTTTAGAATTTATAGGGGGCTAATAGTATCAATCAATGATACAAACACGCTAATAATAAATTATTCCGTTACTAGAAAACATTTCAAATAATAGTATTCAGTATTGAAAGGGTTAACAATGATTGGTTTATTTTTTAAATTATACGTATATACATATTGATTATTGTTTTTAATTTTGTCACATGAAAAAATGATATTTTATAAGAAAGAACAAATTTAATTATTAAATTTAATTTATTATTAGAATTTCTAGGGGGTTAATAGTATCAATCAATGATACAAACACGCTAATAATAAATTATTCTGATACTACAAAACATTTCACATTAAAGTATTCAACATTGAAAGGGTTAACAATAATTGGTTTATTTTTTAAATTATACGTATATACGTATTGATTATTGTTTTTAATTTTGTCACATGAAAAAATGATATTTTATAAGAAAGAACAAATTTAATTATTGAATTTAATTTATTATTAGAAWTTCTAGGGGGTTAATAGTATCAGTTAATGATACAAACACGCTAATAATAAATTATTCYGWTACWACAAAACATTTCACATWAAAGTATTCAACATTGTAAGGGTTAACAATGATTGGTTTATTTTTTAAATGATACGTATATGCATATTGATTATTGTTTTTAATTTTGTCACATGAAAAAATGATATTTTATAAGAAAGAACAAATTTAATTATTGAATTTAATTTATTATTAGAAATTCTAGGGGGTTAATAGTATCAGTTAATGATACAAACACGCTAATAATAAATTATTCTGATACTACAAAACATTTCACATTAAAGTATTCAACATTGGAAGGGTTAACAATGATTGGTTTATTTTTGAAATTATATGTATATAGGGTGTCCGAAAAAATTCGTGATCAAACTTATATTATTATTTAGATCGAATAAATGATAATCGTTCGTATAAATTTATTTTCGAAAATGTATTATTGTTTAATTGTTAGAATTATGGAATGAAATCAATGATTAAAACAACTAACACATTTTTCATTTAGATTTCTTTTTATTCTTTATATATGATTGCATGCATGCAGAAAACGTATCGAACGATCTTTATACTGGTATCTCCTTTATTCGGAATGAAAAATACAGAAACGGTCTGCTATGGGTTTTTTCTTTTTTTTTTTTTTTTTTCTCTCGACAACTTCTCACGTGACATCATTTATTACAAAGATAAACAAATCATACTGGTAATTCTCATTGTCAGTTCGATGCTATAGCACGATGCGTCAGAATTCCGAGAAATAGAATCAGATAAAGAACTAAAGAAAATAAAGGAATATAATTCTTCTTTGCTTTTATTTGTTATAATTTCAACAGAATAAAAAAAAAAAGATATGTTTGTACGCTTTCACAAAGGATATTTATCAATTATTGTAGCAAATTATAAGAAATATTGAAAATATTTTTCTCTCTGCAAGAATGCAGGATTCCATTAATCGAACTTTGTCAAATATTCCAACTGTATTGAAAATAATAGAGAGAATGTATCTAAAGTCTGGACATATTGGAAATTTTTGTTCTTCGACAAATTAAATATGATTTTAATCGAAAGAAGAAAGAATTTGTTCGGAAATATGTGTGTGTGTGTCTGTGTGTATTTTTTGTTTTTGTGCGTGTCGAAATTTTACGGATACATTGCAGTAAATGTATTTGAAATAAATTCTCAAAGTTCGTCATAATATTTTTATTACTTTTTAATATATATATTTCGTTTATGTTGTTTTTTTTTTTTTTCAGTAAAAAGTCACTAACTAACATTTATGCTAATACGACGATGAATTATTATTCGTGAAATAAATTTTTAATGAGAAAAATTAGATTTAGGAAAAGTATTGCATTTAATGAAATAATTACGTTAGCAAATTTTAACCAATGAAATTTTGTGTCAAAAGTTTACTTTTGCTTGGACTTTTTTGCTTGATCATCGATGATATTATCTGTTTAATTTCACGCGTATACGTTTCTTTATTTATTTATTTAACATTTATTATGCGCTTATATGTTAGTTTTCTTTTCTATTAATTTATATTTCTTTTTTCTAAATTTTTTTCTTCATTATTGTTACACATTTATTTTTGTTCTTATTTATTTAATATAGATAATATTTATACAATTAATTTTTATTCGAAATTTGTATATATAATTAAATTAAATCAATTTTTATTGTCAAACGTATAATATAAGCGAATTAATCGTGATAGAAAATAACAGTTAATATAATTTCCAAATACTCATAAGAAAAATATGTAATAGCGTAATAATAATTGACAAGTAAAGTACTAATTGCAAAGTTCTAACTAAATATCGATTTTATATCGATACACGTTGAGTAAATTTGCCAGGTAAATGAAATTAAAGAAAAATTATCGAAAGTTTAAATACAAAAATTGTGAATACCATTTTAAATGATATGTTATGACATTTGCAGAATGATCGAAAGATTTTTCGTTACGATATTCAAATAAATTTTGTGTACGTCATATCTAGTGACGTAGAAAGATTATCTTTTTTTTCTTCAAAAATTTGTGCAGTAGGAAATTTTTTGCGAACCAAAAGAAAAATGATCGTTATATATTGTAACGCAAATATATAATGCGTATAATATTTAAAGGTTATGAGTAATATATAATAATTGGATATTGTTTGTGTATATTT